AAAAAAAAAAAAACAGCTTTATTTATTTTCATGCAGATACACGGACCAGCAAAAATCACCCCACTAACTTTAAAATGATCCATTCTGTCCTTACGTAGCTATTCAAAGTTACCTTGTGAATATTTTTCCCATATTGCAATGTCGTCGAAAAAAAAATTAGTTTCTCAGAAAACTGTTCCATTCAGATGTCACATAACTCACCACCTCGCAAAATAAAAAGTCCTCAGATTTGAATGACTTGTGCGAATGGCCCATTTCAATGTCAAAATAGCTTATTTTACATAGAGGCAATGAGTTACAATGTTAATGCACTCAAATACTTTGTTTACGCGGTAAATCCATAACTCTAAAAGGTCAAACGATAATTGGCTGGGTCTCACCTTTACTGCATCCTGACGGATCTGGTTGATAGTCTTAGGTCCATTATCAATAAAAGCTTTCCGAGGCACCCAGTTGTTCTCTCGCAACTCCACGGTATCCTGAAGCAGGAAACGAATCCTAGCAGGCAAGTCCTTGTTGTTCATTAAGGATAGCATACGGCCGAAGTACTGATCCATTAAAGACTGCGAGACAAAGGGGTGTTAGGAAATACCACCGTCTTAATGCACCCAAAGTCCTGCCAGTCTTAAAGCAGCTTACCTTGGCTTTCTCATGATCTAGTCTTGGCCCCACAGTTCTCATTATCTGACAGAGGCACTCCAAATCCTCCCCCATATCCTTAAGTTGGACTCTTTTCTTCTTTTCCAGAAGCTTCAATTAGGAGAGTTCAAATGCAACACCGTTAGGTTGGAGATCAAGTAGCCGACATGAATATTTCAATGGAGGATTTATGAATAACTCACTGTTTTGATGCATTTATGAAGGATGGACTCGTGAATGAGATCGAGTTTGCCAAGTTCTCCAATGAATTTGATGTTGCCCAGCATTTTGATCTTGGCAATGGCACGCTGCTCTTCCTCCTCAGAGGTGAGAGGGCTGTCATTTTTATCATAGACTGGTAGAAAAGAAAAAAACAAACAAGAACCAAGTAAATAACTGGGAATTCAGTATAGTGGCTGTGATAATGTTAACACTTCCATGGTCTACTTACTGTCAACATTTCTGGCACGGTTTTCAAATTCATCTTGAAGTTTGGATATCAGAAGTCTCCTGAATGTCTGTAGGAGCATGACGAAAAAGTGGAATAAATATCCCAACACAGTACTCTGTGCTGTGAAGCTTCTTGCAAATGAATAGAGGAATTTCTTACAGTGCTCTGCTTTTGTGATGATTGGATCTCGGTTGATGGGCCATCAAAGTTTGGAGCATCCTCTGCCAGACGCAGACATAGCTGAGCATATAGCGAGCTATACTTCGGCTCTTC